CCAGGGCCGTAACCAGAAGATTTTTTGAGGGGGGGCACTCCAAGTAAAAACGGAACTAAAACTAATATAAAGACTCTTTATATCATCTTTTTAATATAAATTCAGTATGGAATCTTTAACATCAAACAAATGAACCTTTGAACCTATGTTTTTACAGTAAAGTAGAAAGCTCCAATCGACGAGTATGCTTTCTCGCATAAATGGTGATCGCTTCCTCTACGTTAATGGATGAGGCTCGATCATAATGGGAATGTAAAACAGCAAGGTTAGACAATCTTGATTGGTGCATTGACGATCGCAAGTAATTGTTGAGCCGCCTCATTGTACTTGCGGATCTTTCCGATTCACAAGATGTTGCTGGGATCGTACAGCCAATTTGAAGTAGAACGTGGATATTTGGAAAAAGAGCTTTATCGCATTCTTTCAGAGACTGTGCTAGGGATGATGGTCGCTTGTCTGGAGTTTTGTCTTTATATCTGCAAAACAAGGAAAGACAGAATTGAAACATGACAGTAATTTCTTGCTTTTGTTGCAACTTCGTTTTGCTTACCGTAACTTCCAACGTTTAAGCTCTTGGTCGAATACTTTAGGCGATGGCATGTCATTACTGTAAACATTAGTCACATCTTTCAAGTCAACTTCTCTTTYGCAGATAAMTGATGGCACCAGTCCAAGCAAGGAAGCAGCAGTGATGCTCATATCTGAGACGGTATTAAACAAAATACTAGTCCAACTTGATCTGCTGCTGCGATTTCAATTTTTACTAGTTGAGTGTTACAATTGATTTAGTATACTTACCAGAAAACTGTTTGTCCAAGTGACTTACTTACTATATGATCAAGGAAGGTAATGGCAATATTTCTTTTGTAGTATTCCTGCGGCGTCTCTGAGGGAATGTTGCTTCTGTGTCATTGGGTTTTTGCTATACGTGGCATTGCTGGCACTACCCCAACGTGATTTGCCATTTTTTYAGAATGTTTGAAGATTTTGCCGAGGGAATCATCTACATTGTCCCTCTCTTGCTTATAGACTTCCTTCGTTTCATTTATCTATAGAAAAGGGAAAAACATTCAATTCAAATAAAGAAAAAAAAATTACGGTTCAATGAGTTATAAACCATGCAGAGAAGAAATCGATCATATGAGAAGGCAAACGTTGCCATATCATACCATATCATATGCACGGATGATATCCACAGCTCTACCTTGCAACAACACAGTTATTCCCGCCATATGTGATAAGTAATTATACACTATAATAAATACAACTATAAAATCAAAGTCTGTTATTGACTTGAGAATTTGCTGTGCCTCACTTCGGTTTTTCGCATCCCAGTCCACATACTGTCTATACTGCTCAACATGTTGCTTGAAACCGATTACTTCCAAGGCTTTGACAATGTACACGTACGCTTGGTAGAAATGTTGAAACGCTATGTGGCGCTGAGCCCATCTTGTGCGAHATACATCAATAAGAGCTTTTCGC